CCCTCCCCCCTCCCCCCATCCCCTTCCAACGGTTGGCCTGCGAGCGAACGAACGAGCGAGCGCGCGCGCCCTGGCTTGCTGCTTGCTGCCTGCTGCTTGGGGCCTTGCCTTGCCTTGCCTTGCCGTGGCCTGCCCTGCCCTGGCTGGTCGCTCCCGCACCCGCCGCCGCCCCAGCATCCCGCCGTAGCGAGGGCGAGAGGGCGCGAGTCTATGTATGTGTGTGTGTATGTGCGCGCCGTCGAGAGCTGCAAGTCACCCTTACAGCGGCTGCTCGCAGGCACCCACGCCCACACACACGCACACACGCACACGCACACACGCACACGCACACACGCACTCTCGCTCTCACGTGGCGCCTTCGCTCCACCGTCCAGCCGTCGGCTCCTGGCCGGGGGCACTGATCGCGCTCCGCGACCTTGGCCGCGCGCACTTTTGTTCTGCCCCAGCACCTGAAACTCAAACTTAACGCCTTCTTAGTCCATATCGATCAACACACGCGGACCGTCGCCGTCGCCAGCCCGTGTGTCTTTTACATATTCCTCCGCGCACCCTGGACAAACCACCACCACCCACACACCCACACACCCACCCACCACACTGCTCACTCACCCACTCCCACTTACTCCCGTTTGGCGCTCCTCTCGACCACACAGCCTTCCATTGTTGTTGTTGTCGTCGTCGTCGCTGTCGTGGTTGTTGTTGTTGCTGCGCGCGCTCTGCACGTTGACTCGCTTCTTCAACGCCCCGTCCGCCTCCCACCCCCCTCGCACTCCCTCCCTCCTGCCACTGTTGCCACTACTTCCACCACCACCACCACCACTACTACCATCGTCATCACTACCACCACCGCCACCGCCGCCACTGCACTGTCGCCCGCCTCGCGCCCACTGCTGCTGCTTGCCCGAGCCGCGAGCGGGTTTTCAGCCAACACGAGCGCGCGTGCCCTTGCCCGAGCCTTGGCCCCACCTGCCTGCACGCAACCCGCCCAACCAACCTCAACCTTGGTTCGACCGCATCGCATCAACACTCCGTTCCCTCATCACCCATCAGCACATGACTGCCTGCCACCGTCGCGAATCTTCGTGCGCCTAGCCATACTAACCACGCCGCCCCGATTGGGCCGCCCCCTCTCCCTGAGCTTCACGACGCTCGACGGAAGCTTCCTTCGAGCTCGGTCGCTCCCGCGCCGCCTGGATGTACTCTGTGCATGTGCAACAGCCCATACAAATCATGTCAAATGGTGGCATTGGAAACGCCATCATGGACTCGTCCGGCACCATTGACCCGTCGCGTAAGTAGTCGTCGCGCTCACTATCCGTCGCTTCCCTTCGCTCTCCCATCCCCCCTTCCCCTTCCCAAGTCACCGGCTTGCGCGTCGGTTACATCCGAAGCAGCCTCCCGCAAGCTTCTTTGTTGACCACCATTGCTTAGACGTCTTCTCAGGCCCACCTCCCTCTGCCGCGCAGCAGCAGCAACAGCAGCAGCAGCAGCAGCAGCAGCAGCAATCGCGCGGCTTGAAGCGCAGTCGCTCGCCCGAAAACAGCTACGAGCCCCAGGGTGATGACACGCCCAACAACAAGCGCAGTCGCGGTCGCCCGTCAAAGGGCACCACGACGGCTGCTGCCAGACCCCCGTATTCGGGCGCTTCACCTAATCGCGCCTCGCAACCTCCACAAACCCCCTCGCAGCATCCAGGAGGCACCGCGCCACCTGTGCAGACACCCCAGCTGCAGACAACGGCGCTGCCCAAGGCTTCTCCGCCCCAAGCTTCGCCACCCACCAAGCCCACGCCCTCCAAGCCCACGGTCATCAAGGCGCTGCCTACAGTGCGCGACCACACGACTGACCAGCTCAACGCCGAAGGCGACGAATACATACCCCGCGAAATCGACGAGGCCGGTGAGCGCAAGGTGACGCAAACCGGCCACCCGCTCGACGGCCGCGAATACCGCTGCCGCACCTTTTTCGTGCCCAACCGCGCTGACAAGCTCTTTATGCTCGCCACGGAATGTGCGCGTGTCCTAGGATACCGAGACTCGTATCTGCTCTTCAACAAGAACAGATCTCTCTACAAGATCATCGCCACCCAGGCCGAAAAGGACGACCTCATCCACCAGGAGATCCTGCCCTACTCGTACCGATCCAGGCAAATCGCCATCGTCACGGCCCGCTCCATGTTCCGCCAGTTTGGCAGCAGGCTGATTGTCAACGGACGCCGTGTGCGCGACGACTACTGGGAGAGCAAGGCCCGGAAGCAAGGCTTCACCGAAGAAGACGCTGCCGGAGAAAAGAGACCCGGTGCAGCAAAGGCCAGAGAAGCGGCCGCTGCCGAAGCGAACCACGCCAACACCATGGCCTCCTTCACCCACCCGGGCCCCTACACGGGTAACAACCAGGACTACCTGGGCGCTGGCATCAACCCGCTGCAGCCCTTTGGCGGCCTCAATCCCGCCCCTGGCAGCATGCCGACAACCAGCCCGGATGCATACAGCCAGCGGCCCACGGCTGATCTCCAGCCTCGCGATTACACGGGCGTTCAACGTCCGCGACACGAAATGCAGGGCGCCCCCTACCAAGACATGACGAGGCCAAGCCCGTCTGGCGAGATCCTCAATGCAGCTGCCCAGACAGCCGAGGTGAACAAGCAGCTCGAGCAGCAGCGCAAGGCCCGAAAGGACTACTTGAACGAGGTCTGGACACGGCCGCATGAGCCGCCGGTGCAGCCAAACCGCCCAGGCACTGCCGAAGGAGAGCATGCGCCTCAAGTCACGCAAGCTGTCCAGTCGCCACGCATGGCTTCGACGGCTTCTTCCAGCGTGCCAGGAAGCCAGTATGCCGGCATGTCGGCACAGACGCCACAACGATCAGGCCAGCCCATGGGTGCGCAGCCCTACCGTCCCTCGACGCTGCCTCCCAACAACATGGTTCCTTCGCCCATGGCTCAGCAGCAGCAGCAGCACACTCCGCTCCGCCCAGAGCAGATGCACCGCCGACCACCGAGCATCGGCATGCCCCAGGGCATGAGCGGCGGCATGCTCCCCAGTGTGCAGCAAAACGCCAGCCATGGATATCCTCCATCGCACATGTGGCAAGGCCCTTCGCAGCCCTCGCCGCTCTCGCAGCAGCACAACATGCCGCAATACGGCCAGCGCCCGCCCCAGCAGTCGCCACTGCCGCAACAATCGCAGGTACACGCCTCGCCACAGCTTCACCATGCCCAGAGTAGCGCGTCGATGCATGGTACTCCGGTGCAGCAATACCAGACCATGGGCGCCATGGGCGGCTCATTGCCTGGCGGGGACCCTGGGTACCAGTCCATGGGCCAAAACCCGTACCAGCCAAGCCCGAGCCCTCACCAGTTCATGCAGCACCAGAGTGCGGCAGCGCAGCAGCCCGGCATGCCCGGATGGGCTCCACCGCCGCAGGCCCCACAACAGGGAGGTTGGTCATCTTACTAGGAAGCAGCTAAATAGCCCAAGCTAGCCTATTCGAGTGCAGCGCACTGCAAGGACTGGCATGGCTCCGAATCAACTTTTTTGATTCTTCACAAAGGCCCCGGGCGTTTACACCACAGATTGACGCCAAGATGGGCAGCCAGCGGCTTTTGCGATTTTCACCCTACTGTTTGCTTTTCGTCTCGTCTTTGCATACTACGCCTATTGGATCGTGTGCCCCCCCCCCCCCCCCCCACTTGGCTCTCCAACTCATCGGCAACAATGACATTACGACATACGAGCTGGTCACGAGCACGCTAAGCAACGAAGATGACACGAAAGCATGATGGAACCGGGCGGTATGGGGAGCCATAATTTTTTCCTTCTCACCATCTCTCTCTCACACACTCACACACACACCCACACACACTCTCTCTCTCTCTGTCTCTCCTATTCGGAGCTCGGCTCCAATTTTCTTATCTTTTCTTTTTCTTTTTCTGCAACTTCGACACACACATTTTCTTCACCGACGATATTTGACAGTCCGTCAATGCCACTATGTCTGGCATTGAGCGGACAAATCCCCCTCCCCCCTACACGGTTGTTTGCGGCTTGATAGTAATTGCATCGGTTTGCGGGCAGGACAGACAATCGGATCCTCTTCCAAAGGAGTTTTCTTTGTTTGCATGGCTGGTGGCGCCGCTCTGGGTCAGATTGTCACACGTTTGCAGTTTCTTGCGAAGTATCTCGGCCGCTCTTCCCCCCTTCCTCCCCCTCCTCCCCCCCTCCCCCTTCCCCCTTTCCGTTGATTTTTGTTTCACTTAGTGGTGGTTTAGTTATAGCTTTGCACAAGATTCCCCTCAGATTCCCCGCACATTGTTTTTCGTGTTTTTTTGCACTGCTTCGCAGCTGTTTGGGCATCTTTGTATATTGGAGGGAGCACACAAAACTATGCTTTGGCATGTTTGGGGGGGGAGGGGGGTTGTTGGGTTAGGGAACATTTCAAGGGACGTGTAGATAGGCGGTGTTTGGGACTCGAAACGCATAGCTGGAGGCCATCTGCATCCTTCCCCTAATAATAACACGACCCCATTTGCGGAATTTGGACGTAGCCCTGTGCAAGGTTGATGACGGACATGTGCCTATCTGCGCCTAGCCACGCAGCAGCTCTGACTGGGGTGTCAGCTTTTTTAGCAGGCCAGGGCGGCAAGTGGCGGCCCAGGCAATGAGGCCAGACTCTGTGTGTGCTGCACCCCAGAATTACTCCATGTCGGGGCTGGCGGCTGGCAGCTGGCAAGATGCATGATGGAATTGCTTTGTCCATGTACACAATGACAGCATGTCATGTCGTGAGCAAGCATGAGCATAAGCCAAGTATGCCACGACACAGCATGTCGGCAATTACAAGCCAACCGTGTTTCCAGCCACAAGGCATACAAGCAGTTGAAAATCCACCGTCTGCCTGCTACTGTACGTGGATTCTTGTTGAAAAAGAAAAATACATATTCGAGCATTGCGGCAAAGCCCGGATGACGGATGACGAGCATCCAGCGCGTGTCTCCGCCCGCTCGCTCGCCCAGACCCAGCAACCAACCAACCAACCTACCAACCAAGTCCATGGCTGTGGCTGTGGCCGTGGCTATGACCGTGGCTGTGGCAAGCTTTGCGTAATTATAATACCAATGATAATATTAATCATCATAATGATCGTCATAATAATAATAGTAATAATAATGATAATAATAATACACGATGCACAACGCGGACCGTAAACACGGACTGACGGACGGACGGACGGGTGGACTAACTAACTAACTAACTAACTAACTAACTAACTGACTGACTCACTAACTAGGGAGTGTACCCGTAGTGTAAATCTTCTCTCTCTCTCTCTCTCTCTCTCTCTCTTGTCTATTTTTATCTTTCTACGTAGTCTTTTTTTCCTTTTTCCTTCCTTTTTTTCTTTTTTTTCTAGCGAATAATCATGGATTTGTTGTATAATTTTATAGTTTTTCTAGGTTTTACGTACTAGAGCATATATGTATAGATTTAACTTACTCTGGCTTTTTGTGTCTTGAAAATAAAATAAGATGAAATAAAATCCGAGTTTTTTTTTGTTTTTTTTTTAGGCATTTCTCTATAAGCTGAACTGAATAGTTAGATGAATGGGAATTTTGCTTGCAATTTCCAACGAAGATGAGAAGAAAGAAAGAAAGATCTTCTCTGCGCCATCACCACAATCCTGCATCCTCCATCCTTGATCCTCACATCTTTTTTTTTTTTACCTTTTCACCCTTGATATATATCCAAGTACTTCCTTTTCTCTTTTTTTTCTTTCTTTCTTTCTTGGGAAATGAAGAAGAGAAAAGAGGACGAGAGAAGGTTTCTGGTGTAAGTAGGCGAGGGGGTAGGGGGGTTGCCCTGGACTGGCTGGCTATTCTGAACGTTGGTGTGAGATTTTTTTCTTTGGATTACAATTTTTATTTTTATTTTCTGCCTTTTCTTTGCATTTTGGATTTCTTAGTTGGCACCTTGTTGATGTGCTGTGCTGTGCTGTGCTGTGCTGTGCTGTGCTGTGCTGTGCTATGCTGTGCTATGCTGTGCTGTGCTGTGCGGGATCCAGCCTAAGTATTTTCTTTTCTTTCCTTTCTTTTCTTTTTGACGACTCCGCGGCGGGTGGGCTGGACTGGCTTACTTGCCAGAAGCAACGTCTGTAGAAAAAGAAAAAAAGGAAAGCTAATGCGAGAGGGAAAGGGACAGGGACAGGCCGGCAGAGGAAACAAAGGCCGGTTATGAGAATAATTTTTTTTTCTTTCCTTTCTAGCATTACTCCCGTCCTGTCGGGAGAGACTCCGACGCTATATTCTCTGTCTTTTCACTTCATTTCACCTAGTTTTGTTTTTTTGGGTTTTGTTTTGGTTGTGTAACCGTCTCTCTCTTCCTCTCTCTTCGACGGAGAGATGGATGGATGGAAACAGGGTTATGTGTACTTACGGGCTAGTCTAGGTGGTAAGCCACGCATTCGTACTCGCACTCGCATGCGGCTCAACGTATGTATGCCTTGTACCACCTATGCTACTAGCTACATCCCTCCCTCCCTCTCTGTCTGTCTGTCTGTCTGTCTGCCCTCTCAGGTTACCTCCCACCCGTCCACTCAGCACTTGCTTTTGCACTCTTCCCGCCAGACCAGACCAGCCAGACAAATGGACGGACTAATTAAATAGGCAATCGGGCGAATCACGGACTGCGCTGCAGAATAGTGGTAGCGAATATTTTTCTGACTTTCTGACTGTCGCTTTTTGAATCTGGTATATACCCGACCGTTGGCGATGGCGGCGGTCCCCCCTCCCTTCCATACACATAATCCCTGCTGCTGCCGGTCCCAAGTAGCCGTGTTTCCCATGATTCGCGCTGGCGGGTGTGGATGTACACACACACACACACACACACACACTCATACGGGCGATTTGGCTAGTTGGACTGGGTAGATCTGGGCGATCCGATCTCTTTTTTTCTTCTTTCGTTGATAATTATTCACGTCGTTTCTGCCTCTCTGTCTGTCCATCTGCCTGTCCATCTGTTTGTATGAATGTATGTATGTATGTCAGCCAGGCTCCAAAATCCACAGCTAACAAGCATCGCGTATCTCGCTTGCTTTTGGCGTTGGGCCAGCGTAGTAGCGAGGGCAGCCCCCATCAACCCTTGGCTGGCCTGGTCGGTGTAAGCAAAGCGGCGTGACCAAGTCGAGTCGAATCAGCACTTGTTTCTTTTTCTTTCATCTTTTCTTTCTTTTCCTTGTAAACGACCCGGATTCTGGCCGCATGTGACTAAGTGTGTGTTACACAAGGCTCTCCGCTTTACACCTAGTCTATCTCATACAGTCAGTTTAGTGGGTACGCGCTCGTCGTGGGCAAACCGCCGCTGAGCCCTTGTTTCAATCAATGCATCGGGTGAATACGGATATGCGTGTATAGTGCCAGGCCGAGAGAGAGAGAGAGACTCACTCTACCAATATGCTCGATTCAGCAATGTCAGCTTCTTCTGTTATCTTTCTTTCTAAAAACAGCGTCTTGGTCAATATTGACATATTACCGTCCGTCTCGAAATGGCCTGAGCGTAATATCTGTTGTGCGTAGCCTTCATAAACCCCGAGTTGCACCTTTGCCGAAATTGGTAACATCGGTTTCTCACATTACGTACGGAGACGAAAAGGTGGCTGAACGCTTTTTTGCCTTGCCAACATTTGCATTCGCTCTTCTAACCCCATGTTACCTGGTTTGCATCGGCAGTGGCAGAATGGCGCATGTATGTAAAACACATGCTTTTCCACACAGGCTCGCTGGGCCATGGGCCGGGAGCTGTGTATGGCTGGCCCGCCATCCCGTAACGCCTTTTCTTCGTCCACCACATTACAAATCCTGGCAGCGGGCGCGAGATTTTATCCGCCACCCCGCTTGGCCGCAAGGGGGCGCGGTTTGCGGTGCGCGGACAAGAGTGACGGTTATGGCTTTTGTGTGCAGATGATGATGATGGCGATGGCGAATTGGTCGCGGACAAGACAGGGTTGGTTGCGTAACGTGTGCGTGTACCGCACAGGATGCAAGTGAGTCACCGACGCCACCGTTTCGCTGGGACAAGGTTAGATCGGGGTCTTGTCTTTTTCTTCCATGCTTTCCATTCCTTCGCAAACGGGACATGGCGGCATGGGTAGATTGCGGCCCTGGCCCGGGACGGCCATTATTGTTATCGTCGTTATTACCACCGTCCACCATGACTATTGCTGGCGTTTCTTCTGTCCTGCCGCTTCTCTACCGTCGCTGGCCCGGCCTGAATTGCCGCCGTGCACATGTTTTTGCCTGGCAAGCGGTTCGGCGGCCTAGTACGAACGGTGACCGGGCAATCAATGTGAATGGGTCAAACAGCTCCAGGCCAGCAGAAACGCCATGTTGAGAGCTGGTCTGCGCCTGTCTGGGCCTTTGATTCGGCCGACTATGGTTTGGGGGGAAATTGGCCTGGCCGTCATC